ATATATACACACCCACATAACTAGTGGCACCCTCCAGCCACCTGCCGTTTTCATGAAATGTCATCAAATAAAACACCACAGTGTAGCGTCAACCATACACACACACAAGTTGACGTTGGAAATTACTTTCGTCTCGTTTTCGTTTCGTTGTGTTGTGTACATATTTTCTGATTAGGCCGTTTCATCAGTTGCAGTCCCCAAGGGAAACCAGCTCATTCCTCACATAGGATCAGGGGAGGCTACTTTTGCTACCTAGTAGAGGATTTCTCTCTCGTGGTTTTCTAACATAAATCAAACAGGTAGCCTTGGGATTGTGCCGGGTGGCGGGCAGCAAACAGAGCAAAATAAATGTTGGAGAAAATAGAAGTTAGACTTGCCATGAGCGTAGACAAGATAACATAGATTGTATAGGTTTAGAAGTCTATGCAACATTTGAAAATGGTTTACTCCAAACACAACACGAATGTTAATGAACCATGACTCACTTTGGCTATTTTAGTATTTACTCTCCTTTTGGTACTAGCTGTAGAATTCCTCACGCTACCTCGTCACTCTCATCAACGCAAGGACTCATATACACACGCTAATAATTATAAGACACCGATATACATACACAAAGGGGAGGAGGGGGGGGAAGAGAGGAAAAAAGAGCGATATATATATAAAGACAGACAGACAGACAGACAGACAGACAGACAGACAGACAGACAGACAGACAGAGACTGAGACAGAGACAGAATGATAAGGCACTGAAAAAGAACGTCAGAAAACGGAAAGGGACAGTATTAGAGATGAACAAAAATGGCCAAGAGAGCAGAAGAACACAATTTTGATTTTACAAAAATCATTAGAGCCGTGAAGACGAACATTTGATGACAAGTCGGAAGCGTTGAAAAAGAAAATATTAGGTGGACATCAACGCAGGAAATGACAGATAGATAGGGGAACACTGAAGAAAAGAGTATTGGGGGATGGATATGGAGTAAAGCCTTGTTGTAGGGGTGAATAGCTCTGAGGCCTTGGCCTGCAAGGATATACTGAACTTGCGGAGATAGATAAATAGGTAGATAGAGAGATAGAGAGATAGATAGATAGATAGATAGATAGATAGATAGATAGATAGATAGATAGATAGA